TTGTGTGATATCACAATTATGATATTTGTCACTTGATTTTTGTATAAAAAATACAAATAAAAACAATGGAAAAAACAGTGTTATTCTTCAAAAAAAAATAAATCTAAATCCTGTCTAAATTTTGTGGAAACACGGCTAAGAAGTGCTGTACAGTGTACAAAACTGCTATGCGTAAAAAAGCCACATGGATACTCTATGTGTAGCAAATTTTTGTTCCGTTGAAAAGATCATAAAAAGAAAACTTTCACAGATTAGAATTTAAATTCAATTTAAATTTTTTTTTTTTTTGAAGATTTACGTATGCGAGTTGCCACCGATCCTAATAACCAGTATAATCAACCAAAGCTTTCTACATCTTTCCACGACCCATTAAGATTCCTTTTGCGACCCACCAGTGGGTCGCGACCCAGAGTTTGGGAACCGCTGATTTAGACATTATAAATACTTTTTAATTTCAAGTATATTTGTCAACACCACTCAGAAAGTAGCAACTTCACTTTCATTACAAAATTACCAATTGGTACCTTATCAATTTGAAAAAAATATACAGCAGTGTGGCGCATCTCTCTAAGCGTTAGGAATATGCTCGCCACCGCTCCTCTGATTAACCTGTGAGGGTTCGCAGGTTTGATCGTGTGGGAATAATTATGTTCGAGGGGATTGTTGGACTCCTGGCCATCATAGGGTGGTCCAGATAACGAATGGTCAGTTCGGCTCTTTCCACCATCAAGTTCATGCATGTATTTATGAAACAACTGACTGGCTAGCTAATACTATACCCGACATAGACTGGTAACCGCACGAGAGGCCGATGGTTTGCCATATGATTAAGACATCTTATCGGCTTTTTCTGAATATATAAATCCAATCCTAAAGTAAGATTGCAAGAAGTAATGTTCCTGCTCATTTCAGATTGAAAGTCACCACATTTAATTTGTAATAGAAGTCTTGGCTCATTACACAAAATTAAATATTTACAGTGTTACAAAAGCAAAAGTGGAAAACGATAAGCCTCATGCCAATACTAAATTTATTCGTTATTTTTCGGCCTTTTTAGCCCGTTTGACTTGTTGACTTATGTTGTTTTGCTAGAGTTAACGTTTATACATTACTATATATGTTTAATTAAATGTTATATTCCCTTTCTCGAAATATCCGTTGTAACCGAATTAGAAGCTGCGGTAGTCATATGATTTATCTATCGTATCGGCTTTTCTTCCCCCAGAATAAAGAACAAAAAACCCAATGTCAAAACCGCTATCAACTCAAGAACTGAAATTTCAAAATTTTTTCAGATAAGGGTTGATAGGCCTTAATTGATAGATTATGCAATTCCCACTAAAATTGGCTTCTTGTCCAGTGCCAAATTCAATGAACATGTCCAATAAACATCATCCATATTACAAACATTCTGACATGTATTTCACCGTTAATAAAATTCCTATGAACAATTTTGGATTGTAAAAGTACTTTAAGGTGGTGCTCCACACTTTTGGACTATCACACAGACTAATAGTGTATCTAGCTACAAAAGGCAACTTCTCTTATATATCATTAGTTCTATAAAAAAATACCTGTAGAGGAGCTCTCAGATTGAGATCTTCAGCGTAGTGTATCAGTAGTGCCCATGGAATATGTAGTAAATAGTATTGCACTGTTTTATCTACACTAACTTTTCCAACCTGTAAAAAAATAGACATAACAATTTTTGAATCTTTATCAAAGAGAGCTCTTTTGAAAGCACGATACTTGACTAAATGAACATAATATGAAACTACAAATCTTTCAATTTTTTTGTGATCAGTTAATTGATAATCATTTTTTTGGGTCATATTTGAATTCATAAAAAAATTGAATTTAGATAACATATTTTTTTTTATCACTTGTTCAACCAACTCAAGACTGGGAAAAAACACACGACCCCTCTGACCTTTTTAATTTGCTTTCTTTCAAGATTTTTCAAGAACTTTGATCTCCATCTTTTTGTTAGTCTTTCAAATTACGCTTTCTGCGTTTTGCTTCTCTTTCTTCTACACTCATTTTTCGAAGCACTTTTGATGTTCTTTTGTGTTCATCTTCTTGTACAAGAAAAATATAAAAAATACAACTATACTTTTAAGGAGAGAAGAATAGTCGATTATTCGAAAATCAAATACATACTCAAATTCATAAGAAAATGCCATTTATTGCAGTAGGTATAGCTTTAAATTAATCCAAGTTACTACATAATTGGTGAAATGTAAAAATATGAAACTGATCAGAATACTGTTATTTAGATATTTTATAGCTCCAGAAATTGTTTTGTGTGTTTTTGAAAAATCGTGATACATTTCCTTTCCTCCCTTGAGACACAAGCATGAGCAGAATCATATTTACCGACTTGGAACTCTACGCCATTTCAGCCTCAAGCTCCACAACCTCGCGTCAAGGGTAAATTGATGGGTTCGCAAATTGCAATGTAACAACTGTATATGGGTGCAGAAATGTTCAATCAATCGCTGCATAACAAATACAAACCAATGCATTTCTTTTCTCCATCGTCGTCAACAAACTTTCTAGAAATTGACGCTGAGTTCAAACGGTCACTGCCAGCATCACTTTCCAAATCACCCTGTTAGAATTTTGAATGTTATTGTGTTAAAATAATAATTCAGTGCCCTGGAACTGTAGAAGGATTTGTTGTCTTTTCCCCTGTCCTTGTATTGATTACTTGCAGAAGTTAGATTTGAGATATTGATATACAAGAAGATTACAGATTAAGACTTTTTCACCAACTTATTCTAGTTCATGTATTTCAATTGGTCTCTTGAATGAGCTAACTAATTTTGAGCCAAAATGATTTGATCATGGAAACAATCATAAATAACAGATCAACAATCATATTTTCTCAACAAAGTACATAACATCTTATAACCTCTATCGGAGCTCATTAGTTGTACATATTATTCCAATCTAACAGAGTAGCTGTATATGGCTAGTGGCAACTTTACAGAGCATTGTTTTGAGAGAAAAAGAGAATATACCACAATGAGTATTTAGTGTTCTATTTCATACTTATACTAATGGAACAAAAGCACATGATACTTGTTTGTATATTGATGTTAGGTATTTGTGAACTATAATTACCAACTTATGTCCATCTAATCAAGTTATAATAAGAAACTCCAAAATTAGGTCATCAACTTAATTCAAGGATAAATAATGTTGTATCAGAGATGCAAACAAGCTCACTTTTCAAGACTGTATCCCAATAAAATCCTAAAATTTTTTAATTGAAGTTACCGAGCAGGCGGAATTTCCGCTAATACAATTTAAATATAAAGCTCATCACATTTCACAATGTGTTTCATACGTTTTACATAAATGATGACTTGGACCCATATCACGGGAGCCTAACATGTGGGAATTGTATTTAGCCAGATCATACAAACCTCTGGGACTTTCAGTAATGCTTCCGTGTCCCTAAATCCCACATGCTTCTATATTCGTCGGATTCGGTCATAATTACCTTGCAATATAGACAAGAACTACAGAAAATTGCTCTCATTCACATTCAATAGGCAATCAATGCCTTGAGGTAACTCATCCCGAAGCAGATGAGAGCGCCGACTGAACGTAAATTGACGAATTTTGCAACGCATGTGCTAGTTAAGGACGTATTTATATTTCCACCAAATTAAGGATACATTATAGTGGTCCAAAGTACGCCAACTTAGTCCTGACGGAAATGTTCAGCTATCAAACAGCTGCAAATTATTCGCTATGTACAGTTGTATACTGTAGGCAATGAAACGTGCCTATTCTTTGAATTACGGCTGTTTTCTGTTTTGTCGTATTGAAATTGAAACGTTCATGATCCCGTATTCGAATAGCCTGCGATATTTATCAAGAAATGTAAGAATCCAGAACAAATTAGCTCTGATGATATATGCATTGGTTTTGTTTAAAAAAAATGATGTCGTATATTGATCTGTTTTTAAAATCGGCACACGTGAATGAGATACGGTTTTTGTTTCGTAGTGGTGAATCGGTTAAATCGTGAAACGTTTTCTGATTTGAAATATTGTACAGAAGATAGCGGAAAGCATTAAAGCTGTTCGGTGTGTAGGTATGGACTCTAAATCTCTCAGACATCAAGTTTTTCTCGTTACGAGCAAAGTTCCACACACGTGAATAAAATTAGAAGTAGGAATATACCGATGTTGCAATGCGCCTGGGAGTTGAAATAGGGCCGACGATTTGGGCATCGGCATCTCAGATTACTAGAGCCCAACAACGACTACAACTGCCCAACTGCAATCAGTGCCAACAGCCTTCGAGAAACAATTTCATCTTCCACAAAATCATGCTTAGACAATCTTTACTTTTCCAGACTTGCAAATCTATCACAAACGCACTTACTTATAAATGATCATAAGTCATAACGGTTTAATTAAATAATTTACTACTAGAATCAGCGCGTGGCCTATGGAAGTGGCGACCCCATTGCGACTGCATAGGTTGCAGTGGCCTAAGGCTGCCCTGACTTTGTAATCGCTACTTGAGACTCAAGTAATACGACGTACCACAATGAATTTGACGCAGTCTACGACTCTGCCAGTCGTATTATGACCAATATGCAACGTAATTTTCTTTTAGGAATCAAATTGATTCGAACAAAAATTAATAGTGCACAAATGAACCAAGGTGGGCGATGGAGAGGAAGCGAACAGCTTGTTTGCTTCCTGTGTCAGAGAGTAATAGTAATTATACCGACACGAAAGCGACTGCATCCGCCACAAGCGAACGTATAATACGCTAATGGAAAAAATAATAATTTCAACTGTAATTCTATGGTAGCTCAAGTACCTAACGTATAAATGACATATTGATTGCGCGTTAATGGTTCTTTGTGCATAGTGTAAAATTTAGAAGTATTGAAAATAATAATAATAATATCATAAATTTTTTGCATGTTTTCTTGGATTACTTTACAGCTAAAGCCCAATAATTTATTTTTTAGTTTTTAACTAGCACACGCGTTGCAAAATTAGTCAATTTACGTTCAGTCGGCGCTCTCATCTGCTTCGGGATGAGTTACTTCAAGGCATTGAATGTGAATGAGAGCAATTTTCTGTAGTTCTTGTCTATATTGCAAGGTAATCATGACCGAATCCGACGAATATGGAAGCATGTGGGACACGGAAGCATTACTGAAGGTCAAAGACAAAGTACCAGAGGTTTGTATGATCTGGCTAAATACAATTCCCATATGTTAGGCTCCCGTGATATTGGTCGAACTCATCATTTTTGTAAAACGTATGAAACACATTGTAAAAATGTGATGAGCTTTATATTTAAATTGTATTAACGGAAATTCCGCCTGCTCCGTAACTTCAATTAAAAAATTTTAGAATTTTATTGGGATACAGTCTTGAAAAGTGAGCTTGCATCTCTGATACAACATTATTTATCCTTGAATTAAGTTGATGACCTAATTTTGGAGTTTCTTATTATAACTTGATTAGATGGACATAAGTTGGTAATTATAGTTCACAAATATCTAACATTAATATACAAACAAGTATCATGTGCTTTTGTTCCATTAGTATAAGTATGAAATAGAACGCTAAATACTCATTGTGGTATATTCTCTTTTTCTCTCAAAACAAGGCTCTGTAAAGTTGCCACTAGCCATAGACAGCTACTCTGTTAGATTGGAATAATATGTACAACTAACGAGCTCTTATATAGGTTATAAGACATTATGTCCAGTGTTGAGAAGTCATGATTGTTACTCTGTTATGATTGTTTTCATGACCAAATCAGTTTGGCTCAAAATTAGTTAGCTCATTCAAGAGACCAATTGAAATACATAAACTAGAATGAGGTTGGTGAAAAAATCTTAATCTGTAATCTTCTTGTATATCATTATCTCAAACAAAAAGCAATCTAACTTCTGCAAGTAATCAATATAAGGACAGTGGAAAAGACAACAAATCCTTCCACAGTTCCAGGGCCCTGAATTATTATTTTAACACAATAACATTCAAAACTCTAACAGGGTGATTTGGAAAGTGATGCTGGCAGTGATCGTTTGAACTCACCGTCAATTTCTAGAAAGTTTGTTGACGACGATGGAGAAAAGAAATGCATTGGTTTGTATTTGTTATGCAGTGATTGATTGAATATTTCTGCACCCAAATACAGTTGTTACGTTGCAACTTTAACTTCAAAATTAATTTACTCTTGAAGAAGGACTTTAGAGGTCGAGTTTAGCATGTTTTAATTGGTATTGGAGTCAGAGCAAGAGTCAAAGTTATATTTTCAAATTCACTTGAGCTGGAGTCAGAAATTAAGAACCTCAATGCTGGTAATCAACGTCAAAATGTTCTACTGAAAGCAAAGATGCATTGGGTTAAGCATTCTAAACATAAAATTAAAAAAGGCTCTAGAATATCAAAGTTTTTGATGTCAAAATTATTTTTACATTTCCCCAATTATATAGTAACTTGGATTAATTTAAAGCTATAACTACTGCAAAAAATGGCATTTTCCTATGAATTTGAATATGCATTTGATTCTGAATAACCGACTATTCTTCTCTGTTGTATTATATAGATTTTGTACTTGTACATGAAGATGAACACAAAAGAACATCAAAAGTGCTCCGAAAAATGAGCGAAGAAGAAAGAGAAGCAAAACGCAGAAAGCGTGATTTGAAAGACAAACAAAAAAGATGGAGATCGAAGTTCTTGAAAAATCTTGAAAGAAAAGGAGTTGAAATCAAAAAGGTCAGATGAGTTGTGTGTTTGATTCCAAGTTTTGAGTTGGTTGAACAAGTGGTAAAAAAGCTATATTATCTAAATTCAAATTTTCAATCAATTTAAATATTACTCTGTCAAAAGAGCTCTTTTTAATAGAGATTTCAAAAGTACTATGTCTATTTTTGTACAGGATGAAAAAGTTAGTGTAGATAAAACAGTGCAATACTATTTACTACATATTCCATGGGCACTACTGATACACTACGCTGAAGATCTCAATCTGAGAGCTCCTCTACAGGTATTTTTTTAGAACTAATGATATATAAGAGAAGTTGCCTTTTGTATCTAGATACACTATTACTCTGTGTGATAGTCCAAAAGTGTAGAGCACCCCCTTAAAGTACTTTTACAATCCAAAATTGTTCATAGGAATTTTATTAACAGTGAAATACATGCCAGAATGTTTGTAATATGGATGATGTTTATTGGACATGTTCATTGAAGTTGGCACTGGACAAGAAGCCAATTTTAGTGGGAATTGCATAATCTATCAATGATCGTTATCTCTAATATTTTTGTAGCTTCGTGAATACAAAAGTAAACAGTGGTCTGCAAGCTTGTTAAATCATTGCAAAGCAAGAAATATTATGGAAATTGATGTCCCGAATCGCCCAGCATTGTATTTCACCTGCACATTTCGACAATCGAAACTGCACAAGTGGGTATCTGAAAAAATGTTGAAATTTCAGTTCTTGAGTTGATAGCGGTTTTGACATTGGGTTTTTCGTTATTTATTCTGGGGGAAGAAAAGCCGATAATATAGATAAATCATATGACTACCGCAATTTCTAATTCGGTTACAATAGATATTTCGAAAGGGGAATATAACATTTAATTAAACATAAATGGTCATGTATAAACTTTAACTCTAGCAAAACAACATACCAGTAAGTAAACAAGTCAAATGAGCTAAAAAGGCCGAAAAATACCATTCTGTTAATAAAGACTCGATTGTCCATGAATTTTATTATTTGTTTACAGTTTTCTTGGAAGTGATGACCCTAAAAATTATTTCAAAGAAACTGATAGACAACGCATAGCTTGGGAAATCCTCGAAGTAACTGCTTATGGAAAGAAAAAGAAAGCTGAAGTTGGTAAGCAGTCACATATTGAATTCACTTACATAGTGGCAAGTAATGAATCATTCATGTGCAGGTTTTAACTGTGAGTGCACTTAATTTTGTCTTATTTAAACTAGAAAGAAAAATGGTGAACCACAATTCTTGCCAATATAGTTAGCATTTTAGGATTTGACTTTTTGAAATATAGACTGCGCCACTATCATGTAAACAAGTAATTGATATCTACAATTTGAAGATTAATTTTTTGTGGCTTAAAAGGAATTGAAAGATTGTTGGCAGAAGAAGTATTTGATGCTGCATTTCCTTTACATGATGGACCATTTCGTCTCCCTCGTAACCAAGAAAAGGTTTGAATTTTTAATGAGTTGTCTTACATATTTGCGCTTAGCAACGCAGTCACTTATATTTGAGCAGCTGCTAGGTTCTGGAAAACCAGAATTTACTCATATTGACTCAAAATACCCAATTATATACCCCTTTGGGGTTAGGGTGATGGGTGACTGAGGCTCTAAATATTTAACTGACAATGTCAACATAGAAAAACTAACACATCAACCCCTATGACACTATGGGTAAGTATCAGAAGAAGAAAAAACATAATTACATTTAATCATTGTGCTATTGACTGGTTCATATATCTTGACCTATGTTTCGGTTTGATAGATTGAATATATTACTAACATGTTTCACATAAGCATATTTTTATCACATGTATATTTCAGACTCCTAATTGAATGAATTATAATATATATTTATATACATAAGCTAATGAATTTAAAAAACTGGTGCTATTTGAGATTCCTTTAATCTTCTTTAAATGTTCAACTTCATACATTTATACCATTTTTACAAAGCACATATATGGGCTATCTAATAATTGAATCATTTCTATTCTTCTCATATATGGTCCATCCATGAACTAATGAACATGAAGTCTATAAGTATGATACGCAACAATATGCCAACAACATGCGTCAACCCCAATTTCCTGAGTTTGCATTATTGATGAGCTGAGCTTGTGCCGACAGACTATGCAAATTATTTTAAGCAATGATACCATATGGTATAAACTGTGACAGGATTCGTGCACACTAAAATAAGTCTGTTCATTCTATTCTTTGCCACCATCATATTCATTCAATAGAGGAATTCAATTAATGACGCATTGTGCTATATTGTCTACTGGCCTATATAATATCAATGCTATGGTTAAGTAGTCATAGTGTATTCATATTATAATTACGGTACACATAACAAAATAAAGAATTCATATATTGATGAGCTAGTCGGATTTATAAAATAATATTCCTCGTTTTTTTCTGATGTTGTATTCTCGCTGAAACTAGTTGCTAACTTTACCAATACAATTCCTATGATCATTAATAGCCAAAGCTCTAATATTTTACAACATGCTTATCATATGCAAAAGAAGTGTGACTATTATTATTGTTAATTATTTTATTAATTAATTATGTTAATTAATTATTAGTTAATTATTTTAAGGACCCATCCCAAATGTGTAAGCGGCAAGTTCTCTTTGAATATTGGGCAAAATGGAGTAGATGGTATAAATATCAGCCTATGGATCATATCAGAGATTATTTTGGTGAAAAAATTGGAATTTACTTTGCATGGCTGGGTATGTATATGACAAGCTTAAAATTCTGCAATATTGCTTACATATTTCTTATAAACAGAATGCATTCAAGTCATTCAAAAACAAATAACAGGCTAATCCTATACAAAACATGGAATGGTAACCAGACAAGAAGCAGTGGTACGCAATATAAATAAGTCGTCTTAACGGTTTTCTCTCCCCGGGATAAAATATGTAAACCTTATCCTGTCTACAATAAATGGGTATATATCATTTGATTTAATTGGCCATACCTTCACCAAATTGTGGAATTATAATAAATCATCTTTTTTGGTTCTATGAGACAATGTAAAATAATATTAGTTGAAATTGCGATTAAATTTAGTTTTGGCATGAGGCTTATTGTTTTCCACTTTTGCTTTTGTAACACTGTAGATATTTAGTTTTGTGTAATGAACCAAGACTTCTATTACAAATTAAATGTGACCCTCAATCTGAAATGAGCAGGAACATTAAACTTCTTGCAATCTTACATTAGGATAGGATTTACATATTCAAGAAAAGCCGATAAGATGTCTTAATCATATGGCAAACCATCGGCCTCTCGTGCGGTTACCAGTCTATGTAGGGTATAGTATTAGCTAGCCAGTCAGTTGTTTCATAAATACATGCATGAACTTGATGATGGAGAGAGCCGGATTGACCATTCGTTATGTGGACCACCCTATGATGGCCAGGAGTCCAACAATCTTCTCAAACATAAATATTCAAACAGGATCAAACCTGCGAACCCACACAGGGTAATCAGAGGAGCGGTGGCGAGCGTATTCCTAACGCTTAGAAAGATGCGCCACATCACTGTTTATTTTTTTTCCAAATTGATGATTCAAATTTTTCAAAAAGTGACAATTGGTGATTTAGTAATGAAAGTGAAGTTGCTACTCTTCTGAGTGGTGTTGAGAAATATACTTGAAATTAAAAAGTATTTATAACGTCTAATTGTTATTGTAACATCATACCAAAATTGTACTTTTTGATTCTTTTCATGAATCGCACTCAATTTATTTGATTGCTTAAGGTTTCTACACATCATGGCTTCTTCCAGTTGCAATTTTAGGATTGCTGGTATTCATTGGAGGAATGTGCAATATGAGTACTAACATTATGGTGTAAGTAAGATGTCTTAGCTCTTTTATTTTCATGTTTTCATTTCAACATACGGATGGTATTGAATTATTAGTCTTTTTTATAGTTGACATTGATAATATCCTTCATTCTTACTAATTTACAGTTTTTTTTTTCAATCAAAGAATAAACCTGAGACATCGCCATTTTTTGTTTTGCAGCTAAATTCTTGCACCCAAATTGAATTGTGACATAAGCCTTGTACATATATTTTGATTATTTTGAAGACATATCGCTTTTCAATATTTTAAAAACTTTCTAGGGTAGAAATCTGCAATACCACAAACAACTTTAATATGTGCCCTTCATGTGATACATGTAAAAATTGGGAGTTAAGTTCAACCTGTGGACAAACTAAATTATCGTATTTATTCGATCATCCTGGAACTGTTGCATTTGCAATTGTTA